CGGCCTTCGTAAATGGAGTTTACCTTTGACTCCCATTCCTTGGTAAGACTTCGCAGGATTTTCCTCACTAACTCCTTGTCGGTGAGCGTCTTTCCAAGCATATCAAGGTCGTTGACGATGTTTGAAAATCTTCCAAACATGTCCTCCACAAGTTCGTTCTCTTTCATAGCAAATAACTCATATTCATGGGTTAGTAAATCAATTTTTGATTCACGAACTTGAGGCGTACCTTCGTATGTGATCATGAGCTTGTTCCACATTTGGTTAGCGGTTTGGCAACGAGATATCTTTTGATAATCGTTGGCGTTGACCGCACAATACAAGAAGTTGATGGCGGTGGCATTCAATTGAGCCTTCTTGAAGTCGGCTTCATCGTATTCATCCTCGTCCTTTGGGATGAGTGTATCGCCTACCTTCTTCATAGGCAAGCTATCTCCATTCTTGATAGCAAGCCAAATTTTGAAGTCGTTTGATTGAACAAAAATCCTCATTCGCTCCTTCCAATATGAGTAATTTGTTCCATCAAAAAATGGCGACCTTACGGTGGATTGCCCTTCTCCTATCCCTGCGTTCAACATTCTCAAAAAATTTTTGATCGTTTTCTCAAACGTCACAAAGAGCGTTAGAGATACCTGCTCTGATACCAAATGTTAGTCAAGGCGTGCAACTCTAGAGGGGGGGTGAATAGAGTTGTTGAGAATGTTTACCGATTTTCGCAGGATTAAAAATATAAACGTAAGTGCAGCGGAAATAAAATAGAGAAGGCAAAGAACACACCGATGTATACTGGTTCACCACCTCGTGGCTAGTCCAGTTCCCCGAGAGACTCTCTCGAAGCTACCACTACTTCCGTTAAGCTTACGGGTGCTTAACAAACCGTTTACAACTCGAGAACTTGAATCCCACAAGCCTCAACACAACCGCTCGTAGATATGCCCTCTACAAGACTTCACAACCAAGACTTAAGTCACATAAGTCTTATACAACAAGAAGAACAATCTTCTTCAACCTCTCAATAATAGCTCTCAAAAGAGTAGATATGAGAAATGATTAAAGCTATAATGGATGACAAGAAACCTCTCTTAAAAACAAATATTTTCTCTCAAAATAATAAAAAATTTGAGGAAGGATTGATGGAGGATTAACACCTCAAGAATGGGGAGTATTGGAGTGTTTCTTTTTGTGAAAAATGACCAAGGAAGGATGCTTAAATAGGAGGTGAAGAAATATATCCGTTGGTCCAAGAAAAGAAGCTGTGCAGAAAAGATGCAGCATAATAATCGATTAATGCAGTGTCAATAATCGATTAATGCATCATCAGAATCGACTAATGCAGCCTGCGCAAAATGATAATCGATTAAAGGAAGATAAAAAATCGATTAGTCGGCTCTGCCAGCCTTAATCGATTAACAGAGGAGCAAAAATCGATTAAATTTCTAGCCCAGGGTAATCCAACTATAAGCAGTTAATCGGTTAATTTTGGAAGATTAATCGATTAATAAGGAAATAATGCGCAAACACAAAGGGCCCAAGCCAGTTGCGATGGAGAGCAGAATTGGCGTAACACTCGTTGTTTGAGACAACGGGAATCAGAGAATGCTCCTTCTCTTATTCAATGAATTTGAATAAGGGAGTAAAAAGTGAGTCCCAAAATTATTTTGTGTGTCAAACGATGAACACGAAAATATTTGATTAAAATATTTTTGCTTTCCAAAAATATTTTCTAATATCAAAATAAATATTTTGATAAATGTTTGACACACTTTTTGTAACTGACTCAATAAATGTATTTTGCACAGTTAAAAAGATTTTTCAACTGACTCCAAAAATAAATATAATTTTTATTTTAACTCTCATAAAAAATAATTTTGGAGAGAAGATATTTTTGTCATCCTTATAATAATTCCTACGACTCAAATAAATAAAAAGTCTTCGAAAAACTTCTACTCCTCCGAGTCCTCCGCTAGGCGCTCCGAACGCGTCTCGGACTCCAATAAAATCCTGTGCACCTTATTAAATACTTCAAGGAATGGCACTTTAAGTCTTCGTGTTTGTCGATGTAGCACTTTGATCTTGACTTGAATAAATTGTGTTTGTCAATTATCAAAACCTGTGAGTCAACACTTAACAACATAGAAAGGGTTGAACTCATGCATTCCAACAAACCCGAACCCGATAGCTCTGGGTCATGAACAAGCATCCTTAGACCCGAACCCGAAGTGACCCGAACCCGAAGTGACCCGAACCCGATGTGACCGAACCCGACCTGACCGACCGTTTTGCCAGGTCTAATTTCATGTATAGGAATTTACATCACAAAATGTTAAATGCTGCATATATATTATTTATACTTTGATGTTGATGTCTATAGTATATAAAACATTGTTAGAATTTTTTTTCTCAAAGCTGGAAAAAATAACCCATATTATACTGAAAAAAAATTTAGAATCGACACAAATTTCGTTCAAACCCGTGCATCGCATGGGTCAAAATACTAGTATATATAACTTGAGAGTTGAGCTTTCAAAATTACGACACGTGGCATGTTTACTAGGTAATTTTTTAACATGTTAGCGCCATATCAACAAGCTTTCATAAGTTTCCTTCTTCCTATTTTCTTCAGTTCTCCAGCAATTTTCTTTAAGAAATACAGGGGTTACCATCTTCGATCTTCCTCTCTTCGGGTCACGTTCTTCATTGGCAAATCCGGACTTTTCTTCTCCCCGGCAAAATTCCCTCTTCGCACAAGTCTTGCAAATTCCGATCTTGATCCTAACTACTGTAAGTTTTCTTCTTCAATTCATATTAATCAAATGAGATGTCGATTGTTTTGAGCAATGAAATTGAACATTAAATGCTCTACCACACGCATTTCAACGCTTAAGGGTCTACATTTTTGCATTCAGATTTTGAATTTTATACGATTTAAAAAATTGATTTTGATTTTGATTTTGAATGATTTGGTAATTCAATTTGAGTTGAGTTTTGCATGAATTGAATTACTCAATTTGATTTCGATTTGAATTTAATTGAATGATAATGGTATCCGATTTGAACAGGCGGTAAAAGGTCCACACTCAATTTGAGTTGAGTTTGATAAGTAAGGATTAGGTTATGTGTTATGCACTTCTTCATCCCATGGGCCTCAGCTGCTTCTTTAACTCCAATGGAATACTAATGAGTTCGTGTCTGTGATGCACATGATCTCTCCCTGTCGAACCCTCTTGGTAGGGTTCACTATATGCTCTTACTCTCCAAATGCATCACCACCGGGTATGCAAATATCTATGAAATGCACACTTATGTATGCTTCATGTGTTTTTTATAGTATTGAGTTTTGTTTAATTCCTTTGAATTTACTTGAGTTATTGTTTTTTCAATGAGGTTGAGATGCAAAGGACTGAATCCGAGTGAACATCAAGTGGAATCGGAGATTGTATGTTTTCTTTTTAAATTTTTTCATCTTCTATAGATGGATAGTTCTTTTTCCATATTATTTCCAGTTGCAACTTTGGGTGCAAATAGGTGTTCCTTGGGTTCATTTTCGCTACTTAATTTCCCCATATTTTTCATTAGTATTTCCTTGATTCAATTATCATATTTTCCAGGCCAATTTTCTTTGCGATTGAGGACAAATTGTCTTACAAATTGAGGAAAGATTGACCTAATTTTGGCACTTAAACAAAATTTGTTTCTTGATGAATTCATGAAACCTTTTTTAAATACAATTATAATCTATGCAATGCAATTTTTTGTTTTCATTTGCTCAATTGACATGTCTTCCAGGATCATTCATCCTTTGTCAAAAATCACTCCGAACAGCGAGTGTTGGAGGATTTTAGTTCACAACAGTATACGTTGCCGGTGTATAATTATGAAAAGGAAATGAATTCAACTGAAATGGTATTCATGGAACACGTTAGTAAATCCTTACAGCATGTTTACTCTATTTTTTGGGATTCTTTTAACCAAAGAGTGTCTTTTCATTGTTGAACCAATTTAATTGTTTAAAAGAGTGTTATGGTAATAATTCTTAACTGATTTGTTGGAGATTGTTTAACTTATTTTTTGGTTCAGTCACTTACTTCAAACAGTTTAGCATAGTAGCAAAACTGTTTGAAGTAAGTGACTGAACCAAAAAATAATTTAAACAATCTCCAACAGATCAGTTAAGAATTATTTCCATAACACTTTTATCATAACACTCTTTTAAACAATTAAATTGGTTCAACAATGAAAAGACACTCTTTGGTTAAAAGAATCTCAAAAAATAGAGTAAACATACAGTAAGGATTTACTTACGTGTTCCATGAACAGCATTTCAATTGAATTCATTTTCTTTTCATAATTATACACCGGCAACGTATACCGTTGTATCACACGAACTAAAATCATCCAACACTCGCTGTTCGGAGTGATCCTCGACAAAGGATGAATGAGCCTGGAAGACATGTCAATTGAGCAAATAAAAAAAATTTGCATTGCATAGATTATAATCGTATTTAAAAAAAGTTTCATGAACTCATCAAGAAACAAATTTTGTTTAAGTGCCAAAATTAGGTCAATCTTTCATCAATTTGTAAGATAATTTGTCCTCAATCACAAAGAAAATTGGTCTAGAAAATATGATAATTGAATCAAGGAAATACTAATGAAAAATGTGGGGAAATTTAGTAGCAAAAATGAACCCAAGGAACACTTATTTGCACCCAAAGTTGCAACTGAAAATAATATGGAAAAAGAACTATCCATCTATAGAAGATGAAAAAATTTAAAAAGAAAACATACAATCTCCGATTTCACTTGATGTTCACCCGGATTCAGCCCTTTGCATCTCAACCTCATTGAAAAAAAAACAATAACTCAAGTAAATTCAAAGGAATTAAACAAAACTCAATACTATAAAAAGCACATGAAGCATACATAAGTGTGCATTTCATAGATACTTGCATACCCGGTGGTGATGCATTCGGAGAGTTAGAGCAGATAGTGAACCCTACCAAGAGGGTTCGATAGGGAGAGATCATCTGCATCACAACAGACACGAACTCATTAGTATTCCATTGGAGTTAAAGAAGCAGCTGAGGCCAGGGGATGAAGAAGCGCATGAGAAGTGCATAACACATGACCTAATCCTTACTCATCAAACTCAACTCAAATTGAGTGTAGACCTTTTACCGCTCGTTCAAATCAGATACAATTATCATTCAATTAAATTCAAAACGAAATCAAATTGAGTAATTCAATTCATGCAAAACTCAAATCAAATTGAATTACCAAATCATTCAAAATCAAGATCAATTTTTTAAATAGTATAGAATTCAAAATCTGAATGCAAAAGTGCAGACCCTTAAGTGTTGAAATGCATCTGGTAGCGCCTTTAATGTTCAATTTCATTGCTCAAAATAATCGACATCTCATTTGATTAATATGAATTGAAGAAGGAAACTTACAATAGTTAGGATCAAGATCGGAATTTGCAAGACTTGTGCGAAGAGGGAATTTTGCCGATATAGGAGAAGAAAAGTCCGGATTTGCCAATAAAGAACGTGTCCCGAAGAGAGGAAGATCGAAGATGGTAACCCCTGTATTTCCTAAAGAAAATCGCTGGAGAACTGAAGAAAATAGGAAGAAGGAAACTTATGAAAGCTTGCTGATATGGCGCTGACATGTTAAAAAATAATCCAGTAAGTATGCCACGTGTCGTAATTCTAAAAGCTCAACTCTCAAATTTTATATATAAAGATTATTTTAACTAATGTAAATCCATTGAAGATGCTCCTACGGTGTTTTCATGAAACCCCAAACCGCTCAAAACACATCAAGTACCCGACAATTACAGGAAAATAAAGTGTTGTATTAAAAACAAAAAAAGAACATTTATTCCTTTTCATTCTTGTCCACATACTCCGTATAATTACAAGTTGTGAGTGTCCCTATCAAGCAAACTAGCGCCGCAACAAGACAGGAATGCAAGAATATCAATCCAATGATGAGACAACTAAAACAGCATCTTTATTATAAAAAGGATGATGAACCATTCCCTCATACGGATAGTTATCCGATAGCATGTTTATTATATGTACCAAGTTAATCTTCGTATACATTTAAACCAAAAAAAACTCAAACTTGTGATGGTAGATCCGGCTTACTTATTTAATGGACACTCTTTTTTCTACCATGTTGCCATCATCTTTCACTGCTAAGAAAACCAGAAGACCCAAAAGAGGATAACTCAATGTTGTCAGTCCCCAATTCACAACCAATTGGTTAAAGAATGCCACCTTTTGGGCATCCACTTGCCAAGCTATAGCTCCCCCTGCACTCTGCACTCCTTTGTAAAATCCTGTATACCTGAACCACCACCCCACAACCACCCTTTTTTTCAACAATCTTTGATAGAATCCAGTTAAAACATGAAAGAACTTGGAGAATGCAAAGGGAGATTCGAAAATACGTACCTGCTAAGGATTTCAGAGTCATCTGCTAAGGCTCCAATGATCCAGTAAACCATACTCTGGAACATGGCGTCAAGCAAGCCGTAGCTGAAGTACAACACGAAGGGCCCCGCGAAATCCGACCCGTCCTTGAAATCCAGCTTGCGAGCAGGCATATCTTCGCGCGAATATTTGAGCTGATTCGCCATCCCGCCCCCCCAAATCGCAGTTCCCAGAACTCCCACAACTGCGATCCCCACCAATCCCCTAGTCCTCCGGCTCTTGAAGGTGAAGTCCATTATGAACCCAATGAAGACTGACCCAATCATCTGTGCACCCCAGTAGAACACATTGTTCAAACCCCTTGTTCTTAAATTGAACAGCGCCCCGTTCACATTGGTAAACTGATAGCTGTAGAAGAAATTGCTTGCCAAAGACGCCGGAACCAACAAGAGCATCTTCCAATCCATAAAAAGCTTTGAGATCTCCCTAAACTCAACCCCCACACTGGAGTATTTGATGTTACTGCAGGCTGTTCCATCATCCCTGACAACTTGGCTGGGATGGAGAATCGCGAGCGATAGAACTGTACCAACGGACATGAAGATCATGAATCCAATGTAAGTTCCATCATTGACAGACACGGCGTCTGCGCGGTGATAATTCAGTATGAAAGGGATAAGCCCACCAATGACACCCCCCATGTTGAATATGCTCCAGAACATGGAGATGTAGGTCCCTTTCCGGTCATGGGGAGGGTACGAGGTCATGATGGCTCCTTGGGAGGCCCACACAAGGCCAGCCCCGATGCCAAGAAATGCTCCGGCGAGGATGGCAAAGGCCTGGTGTTTGAAGTGGTTGTAGTAGAGGAAAGATCCGGCGTAGAGGACATACGTCGAACACCCTGCGAGCAAGGTGAGTTTGGGGCCCAATATGTTGTAAATCCCGCCGCCCAGTACCCCGAAGACGGCAAAAGTGGTGTAGAGGGCGGTGTTGGCGTTGTTGGCCGCCGTTGGGTCAACCTGGCCGCCGCCGCCCATACCCGAGAGGGCGTTGAACATACCCGGACAGCAGAAGCAGACCAGACCGATCAAGATCACCTGAACCAGAGGCGAGTCATTCCTAATTCCAGCCGACTTGGCCGGAGGTTTCTCCGATGATCCTCCGGCGTTCAATTCATGTTTCAGCGGCTCCATCGCGGAAGAAAGGGGAATTCGGTGATGTGGGAGTTGAGAATTAATAAGAATGCATTAATGTGAAGAATAGTACAGTTATATACTCCCTCCGTCCTTAAATAAAGTTTCATTTTTGACTTTTTGAAGATTTAAGAGAGGGATATTTTGGTGTTGACTTTCCAAAAATACTTTTGATGTGATGTGTTAAAGTAAAATGTGATAGGTAGATTATTAGTAAAAAGGTATGATGTGATAGGTAGGGTATGAAAAAGTAAGGGGTAAAATGGGTTTTTTAAGGGAAAAGAAAAGTTTATTTAGAGACAAAGAAAAAACGAAAAAGGAACTTTATTTAGGGACGGAGGGAGTATATATATATATATATATATATATATATATATATATATATATATATATATATATATATATATATTCCCGAGATTTAAAAATGGTGGTGGCTCCATGTTAGTAAAGAAGAGAATCTGGGATTTGGATGTTGATAGGAAACCAATCTTATCTCCACAGATTGAGACTCGCATCCTTTTCTTCCGACCATTTGTACCCGAAGCATACCTGCCGGTCTTCAAAATATGGGCACTCTCAAAATATTACTCGCAGGTAATATACTCCATAGCATTTGATCGATTTGTTTTTATAATTTTTTATACCATTTAATTTTTTTACTACGGTCAAGAAAAATGAAAAAACAAATAATAACATAAAGTACATTATTGCATGATTAATAGTAGGATTATGCTAATTTTTTGAAACAAATAGTACAGATACGTTACAAGTAACGCTAATTTTAGACTTCGATATTACCAAACATGTTCTACTAAATCTGTTTTTAGGTTGTGTGTTTCTCCATTGCAGATTTCTGCACGTCTTACGATTCGTGCATCATCTCTAAACTCTTCGATGTCAATATTGCTCGATTTGTAGTCTGCACAGATAGTTCTCCCCTTACATTCTAAAATCATATTATGTAAAATGATACATGTGTACATTGCATTTGATATTATTTTTCCCATATTCTTGCGGGATTGGCGACAATATGTCACCTTCTCTTTAGCACACTGAATGCGGGTTCTATGTCTTTTGTTGCTGACTCTTGAGCTTTCTTAAAATAGATACATTTCACATCGCCCTCACGTGGGCAAGTAAATGACTTCACCAATGTAGCCCAGTCGGGCTAGATACCATCTACAAAATAATAACCTTAGTTGACTCCGTATCATTGGCAATAAATGAGGTTGTAACGCCACGAAAATAGGTCTATCAAAATTAATTAATTAATTAATAATTAATTAATTACTGAGAAGGATCTAAAAATAAATGATTTATGAAGTTTGTCAATAAAAAAAGAAAATTATACCATTGTGTAGAGTTTAACTGTCTGACTGCAACGTTTCAATCGGATTTTAATTCGGAGAAAGTTGGACCAAAAAGTGTATCCCGACTGGGACCAAATTAGTCTCAACCATGGAATGGCGTGTACGATCTTTAATATTGACGTTGGGCGCACTACGCCAATCGGTCATCATCGCACAGGGAACTCTTCTGGCTTTTTCTTCCCTACTCTTCCTATATAAGCCACCTCAATCTCCCTCATTTCTTCACCAAATCATCCCATTCTTCTATTATGTTGCTCGGAGTGTGGAGAACGCAGTGGTATTGTGAATTTTGGATCAATATGGAAATGATTTTTAGCTTCAATCCCCATTCGGCTCACCAAGTGTCCCAAGAACTTCCGCCCTTGTACCGCAAAGGTACACTTTTTAGGGTTGAGTCAGAGATTCACCTTCATCATGATCCCGAACACCTCTTCCAAGTCCCGGACATGGTCTCAGGCCTATTTCGATTTGACGATCATATCATCGATATAAGCTTCTATGATCCGGCCTAGGATAGGTCTGAACACTTCTGTTACCATCCCGGTGTATGTAGCCCCAAAATTCCTCAAACCAAACGCCATGACCAGATAACAGTACAACCCTTCCAGAGTCATGAAACTCGTCTTTTATGCATCTGCTGGATGCATCCGGATATGGTGGTATCCGCTAAATGCATCCATGAAGCTCATTAACTCGCATCCTGCAGTCTCATCCACCATTTGATCTATGTTTGGCAGTGGGAATGGATCCATTAGATAGGCCTTTTCAGGTCCGTATAATCCACACACATCCTCCAAGATGGAGGTTTTTGGTGCGAGGACTACATTGGCCAACCATTCTGGGTACTGGACCTCCCGGATATGTCCAATACTCTTTAGCGTGGCTAGCTACCACCCTCTTGACAAACTCTATTCTTTCTTGGGCAAGACGTCTTCTGTTCTGCTTAAACGGCTTCACTCCCGGAAGGACATTCAGCTTGTGGACAACGATCTTATGGTCGAGTCCGAACATGTCTGCCAGACTTCAGTCGAAAACCTTCCTAAACCTCCTAAGCACTGCAATCACCCGGGTCCGGAGTTCAACCCCCAGGCCCTTGCCTATCTTGACCTTCTTGTCTGGTTCTATCGGCTCCAAGCTTACCTCTTCTACATCTCCTGCCATTTCCACCCGGGGGCGTTTCACCTCAGCTTTCAGCAACTGAGAGGTTACTTTTCCTACCTAGGTGTTGAACTTGACTGGCTCCTTGGTTGCCTTGAGATACCATGTGTGTAACACCTCAGCCCCCACCCTGGTCGTTAGCGTCCGCTCAAAGGATTGTAGACTGTCATCACAAAACAACACAAGTCTTTTCCGCACACTTTGTCCTCACTCGTGTGCGCCCAAGGAAACTTCCCAGGGGAAGTCACCCATCCTAGAATTGCTCCAGGTCAAGCACGTTTAACTTTGGAGTTTCTAGGTGACGAGCTCTCGAAAAGAAGATGCACCCAGGCCCTTGCCTATCTTGACCTTCTTATCTTGTTCTATCGGCTCCAAGCTTACCTCTTCTACATCTCCTGCCACTTCCACTCGGGGGCGTTTCTCCTCAGCTTTCAGCAACTGAGAGGTTACTTTTCCTACCTAGGTGTTGAACTTGACTGGCTCCTTGGTTGCCTTGAGATACCATGCGTGTAACACCTCAGCCCCCACCCTGGTCATTAGCGTCCGCTGAAAGGATTGTAGACTGTCCTCACAAAACAACACAAGTTTTTTCCGCACACTTTTTCCTCACTCGTGTGCGCCCAATGAAACTTCCAGGGGCAGTCACCCATCCTAGAATTGCTCCAGGTCAAGCACGTTTAACTTTGGAGTTTCTAGGTGACGAGCTCTCGAAAAGAAGATGCACCTTGTTGATGTGAGACTGTCCTCACAAACCAACACAAGTCTTTTCCGCACATTTTGTCCTCACTCGTGTGCGCCCTAGGTGTTGAACTTGACTGGCTCCTTGGTTGCCTTGAGATACCATGCGTGTAACACCTCAGCCCCCACCCTGGTCGTTAGCGTCCGCTCAAAGGATTGTAGACTGTCCTCACAAAACAACACAAGTCTTTTCCGCACACTTTGTCCTCACTCGTGTGCGCCCAAGGAAACTTCCCAGGGGAAGTCACCCATCCTAAAATTGCTCCAGGTCAAGCACGTTTAACTTTGGAGTTTCTAGGTGACGAGCTCTCGAAAAGAAGATGCCCCCAGGCCCTTGCCTATCTTGACCTTCTTGTCTGGTTCTATCGGCTCCAAGCTTACCTCTTCTACATCTCCTGCCACTTCCACCCGGGGGCGTTTCTCCTCAGCTTTCAGCAACTGAGAGGTTACTTTTCCTACTTAGGTGTTGAACTTGACTGGCTCCTTGGTTGCCTTGAGATACCATGCGTGTAACACCTCAGCCCCCACCCTGGTCGTTAGCGTCCGCTCAAAGGATTGTAGACTGTCCTCACAAAAAAACACAAGTCTTTTCCGCACACTTTGTCCTCACTCGTGTGCGCCCAAGGAAACTTCCAGGGGCAGTCACCCATCCTAGAATTGCTCTAGGTCAAGCACGTTTAACTTTGGAGTTTCTAGGTGACGAGCTCTCGAAAAGAAGATGCACCTTGTTGATGTGAGACTGTCCTCACAAACCAACACAAGTCTTTTCCGCACATTTTGTCCTCACTCGTGTGCGCCCAAGGAAACTTCCTAGTGGCAGTCACCCATCCTAGAATTCCTCCAGGTCAAGCACGTTTAACTTTGGAGTTTCTAGGTGACGAGCTCTCGAAAAGAAGATGCACCTTGTTGATGTGAGTAGTACTATCAATCCTTTTGATCTCTTCTCATTCCTATCTTAATATGGGATATTACATTCACCCCCACTTAGGAATGCAACGTTCTCGTTGCATATTTTTTTTATTAATCCTTAGATCTTCTCCGCTATGTGAACTAAGCTCGTTGGCCTGTCACGGTCGCAGGGTTGCTCTGATACCATTTGTAACACCTCAGCCCCCACCTTGGTCGTTAGCGTCCGCTCAAAGGATTGTAGACTGTCCTCACAAACCAACATAAGTCTTTTCCGCATACTTTGTCCTCACTCGTGTGTGCCCAAGGAAACTTCCCAGGGGCAGTCACCCATCCTAGAATTGCTCCAGGTCAAGCACGTTTAACTTTGGAGTTTCTAGGTGTCGAGCTCTCGAAAAGAAGATGCACCTTGTTGATATGAGTAGTACTATCAATCCTTTTAATCTCTTCCCATTCATATCTTAATATGGGATATTACAATGTGATACTGTTATACCCCGTATCAAGATGGGAATGGGAAGAGCTCAAAAGGATTGATAGTAATACTTATACCAACAAGGTGCAATGCATCTTCTTTTCGAGAGCTCATCATCTAGAAACTCCAAAGTTAAGCGTGCTTGACCTGGAGCAATTTTAGGATGGGTGACCCCTGGGAAGTTTTCCTTGGGCGGGCACGAGTGAGGACAAAGTGTGCGGGAAAGACTTGTGTTGGTTTGTGGGGCCAGTCTACAATCCTATGAGCGGACACTTATGACTATGGTGGGGGCCGGTGTGTTACAAATGGTATCAGAGCAACCTTGCGACCGTGATGGGCCAAAAGAGCTTAGTTCACCTAGCGGGGAAGATCTATGGATTCAAAAAAAGGATGCAACGAGGACGTTGCATTCCTATGTGGGGGTGAATGTAATACCCCATATCAAGATGGGAATAGGAAGAGCTCAAAAGGATTGATAGTACTACTCATACCAACAAGGTGCATCTTCTTTTCGAGAGCTCATCATCTAGAAATTCCAAAGTTAAGCGTGCTTGACTTGGAGCAATTTTAGGATGGATGACCCCCTTGGAAGTTTTCCTTGGGCGCGTACGAGTGAGGACAAAGTGTGCGGGAAAGACTTGTGTTGGTTTGTGGGGCCAGTCTACAATCCTATGAGCGGACACTTACGGCTAGGGTGGGGGCCGGGGTGTTACAGATACTCTCTAAGATCCCCGAGCTACACCTACCCTGGACGATGTTGGAAACTTTATGCATAAGTGCTTGGGTGAGATCACACACTCCGGGTCCTCCAGGCCCGACCTACCTAAGATTACATTCGTGCTGGAGATGATCCCAACCACCACAAACTCCATGTCCTATGACCTTTTCGCCTTAGTGTCACCCACTTCCACGGGTAGGGTGATAATACCTTCTGGTTCAATAGAATCTCCAGTGAATCCGGTCAAGGGAGTCTTAATGGGCAGCAATTCCTCTCCGGTCAATCCCAAAGCCTTAAAGGTGTCCATATACATGATGTTCAAGAAACTTCCCGTATCCACCAATGTCTTGTGTATCAGTAAGTCCATGATATCAATTGTGATTACTAGGGCATCCCTATGAGGGACCCCTGTCTCTGGTAAATCCGCACTAGAGAAAGTAATGGGCTTAGTTTTGATTCTCTTACCTTTAGGCTGGGGAGCTATAAGTGTCCTCTTCGGATCAGTCGGGTCATCTCATTCTTCACGGTATAGCAATTTTCTATATTATGATCAATCTTCCGGTGGTACGCGCACCATTTTCCTGTTTCCTCCACATTACACACCTTTTTGGAGTAGGTGGGGTAGGCCATGAGACCTTGCTGGGCAGCGTGCGTCATTACCTCCGCCATTGGGATGATGAAAACCTGATAGTGCGATTTTCAGGTATTAGAGGATCTAGCAGACTGGCCCTTAGGTCCATCTGGGAAACCCGACTTCTTCCCTTTCTACGGCTTCCCCTTCTGCCTGTTTTCTCAATCCTGCTGGGATTTCTCCTTCTTTTCCTCATTGCGCTCTTCCAGGGTGACGTGTTTCCCTGCCCGGACCATAGCTTCATCAAAAGTGTCCAGGGATGGGTCGTCAGATCCGCATGGAGAAGCCCTTCATGAAGAGCAACAGTAAACATCGCCAAGTGAGCCTTGTTGTCGGCACCTTCTACTTCCCTAGATTCCTTCCTCTAGTGTGTCATGAAATTCTTCAAGGATTCTCCATTCTTCTGGCGTATCGAAGCCAAGTGTGTGAAATGCTTCTTCAGGCGGCAATTCCCAGCATCATGTTCCAAGAAGCGTATACCTAACTAGTCTCGGGTCCGGATCGACCCGGAAGGAATATGGTTGACCCAGTCTGCCACCTTAATATCGATGGTCAATAAAAAGCAGCGACACATCAGGGCATCTGTCGCATCCACGGCTATCATCGTTTGCACGTAACTGTTTATGTGTTCTTGGGGATCCGATTCCCCATCATATCGTTTGACGAATGGGACCTTAAATTTCACCGGGTATGGTTCTACAAATATCTCTGGAGCCAATGGGGTATTTGTCCGGGTAGTAAAGACCCGACCGTGGTTGAACCACAACTGCATCTCTTGGATTTGGCATCGTAAATCTTGGAAATCCCCCATTCCCGGATATACTGGCCCAGGTGTTGAGATGCCAGGACCCGGACCTGGCTGTGGGCTTCATCTTCTGCAACTTGTCTTGGCTCAGCTCGCGGCACGATGCGAATCCCGGTTTGATGACTCAACGTGGCTTGGTTGGGGCGGTTCCCATCCAAGCAGAGCTTTCTCCAGATTCTTCCCCAGTCGTGCACTGACCGGTATTCTCCCTTGTGTCATTCACTCAAAGACTGAACCTTTGGGGTTCTTGGTCTCCGCATGGCACGGCTGGCTGGCTGCTCGACGAGCAATCGGGTCCTGAGTCTTTTCCCGAGTTAGCTTGTCGCACTCCCGGGTGTTCCGGGACAACTCTTCCTCGAGTTGTTTTCTTATTGCCTCTCTCTCTCATTCAATCTCCTCTGTAGTATGGAATTCTCGCAGAATGGGATTCATATGCTCTGGGCGCGTTTGGGGAATCTATCCCGGGACCCTAGTAGGACCGGGAAGGGTCTCCAGTCTGTCCATAACATTTGCCATCATGTTGGAAGGTTATTCAATGCCGCCTCCGTGCCGCTAGGCTGTGTGGTGATCGGCTGTTCAGGAACTCTTATCGCGGCTGACGACTGCTTAGAGTTAGCACCACTACGCCTAAGGTTTCTCGTTCTTCGGCTAGCCATACTCTCGACCCATAATCTCTTAATCTTTAAACTCTCAATGAAAGCACCAATGATGGAATTTTAGCCCAACAACTATGACAATGAAGAATGGATTTAGGAAAATAAAGATCAATAATGATAATGATTGTTAATATATTTCTATTAATTTGTTTGTTCTTGTCATAGCTTGGTTTACAATGGAGGTTTCTCCCTCTATTGATACTACATTATGGTTACGTACGTAACGGGCACTTGTCGTGCACACAAATCTTGGCCATTATTTCTTGTACGTCGATCGTGGAGGTTAGCAGCTCAACCCTTTATCTTCCACGACTTGGGGTTGCCACGATCTCGCATTATTTGCCTGGGCCTATTAACGAGAACTATGCCTTTAGTATCTTGTTAACCAATCCCCGTTCTGTACTGGCCTGACCCATTCCCTTGTGGATTGGGCCGTTTATATTTGTTTAATGGGTCCGAATATCCATCACATAGACTTCTGATCCCATCACAGTGGGTTGTAGAATCTTTTATGTCACTCTTGAAAAAATAGCAACTTTTAAAAGCCAAAATAAAAAAATCTCTACTAACAGATAGACGTTTATACCTAATAAAATTCTTAATAAATATGAGATTTTGTTTTGCCAACATATTAGCCAACAACTTGAAGTAACGCTTATAAGTAAAGAGAAATATGTTATCAGCTGACTTATAAGTTAAAAATAACATTTAATTAATTAGTTTTGATCAACTTAAAAACATAGAGAGATACTCACGTTACTCATATTTTAGTTTTTTCCCTATTTCGTTCCATAATTGTTTGTCCAGTTTAGATCAATCCCGGTCAATATTTTGGTTCGCAATATTTATGCTATTTGTAGTGTGAAGTAGGGATGTAAACGAACCGAATGGAAGGAAATACTGAGATATTTGAATTTGTATTTGTTTAATTATTTTGAATATGAATCTAAATCCGAATATGAAACGAATTAAAAATAAGATTTGAATTTGTATTTGATTAATATTCAAATAAATAACGAATCCTAAATAAATATTTGAATAATAATACTTTGTAATTTATATGATGGACCAACATTGATTTTAAAAAATTTAACTTACTATATTTCTTATACTATATGTAAAACATTAATATATTGGCGTCTTACACAAATTATATGTTATGAAACATAACTATTGAAATCATATACTTTAAATTTTCGTGTTACGTTAATTTGACAAAATCTTAATATCTGAATTTGAATTTTAATTTTAATAAAGTGAATTTGAGTCATTATATTCAAATACGTATGAGGAATCGAATTTAAAGTATTTAATTTGTTTCAATTTACGGCTCCATTAATTTGAATTCATGAGGCCCAATACCCTGTAGGGATTAACGTCTTCCCAAGCGATGCAAGAACGTTAACTAACGACGACCACAGAAATTTGCAGGAGGGGTCGAGGGGAAGAGGAAGGCACGTGACGGAACGGGCATTTCCGTCTCCTTCGTACCACTACTGCGAAATGGAGGAGGAGAGGATTTTCAAAATGGAGTGAATGAAAAGACAAAAAAAGGCACCACGCATTTCAGCTGAATTTCATTTCACTTGCATTTACATTTCACTCGCCCTACCATTTATTACCACGCGATAATCGGATCGGGCCCTTATCTTTAGTTCTCACTCCTATAAATACTTCACTGCCCTTTTCCCCTAAATGCCAATTTTATATTTTCACTTCACTTTTAAGGAGAGAGAGAGAGAGAGAGGCTCGAAGAGGTAGGTGTATGCATACCTTCTTCCTCGCAGTAATTTGTGTTTTATTATGATCTATCGCTGTTTATCTAATTTGTTTGCATCAGATATGATTATTGATTGTTACAGGCATTATATATTGAAAATTGTGTTGTTATTTTAAATTTCTCATTATTATATATTGGAATTATTTTAATTTTCTGTTTTGTTTTTAAATGCTCCTTAATTTTATTTAAGAAAAAGAAGCTAAGACCCCCTGCTCCATTGTGACTGTGTTTAGATTTGACTTTTTTTGAAAGTCTGGTTTTAGATTTGAATAAAATTGGACACTATTTTGTTTAGATTTATTCAGTGGAAGAGGAAAGTACTTTTGAGAAGCCTTGATTGCAGTTATATACTTATATTTTTGATCTCTTTTTGTTCTCTGTGGTGGAAGTCAATGTTACATATAGTTTCATTGGCAAGAAATTTAGTCAATTCTACATTGTCTTTTGATTGAAAATGAACTTCACTCTTTTAAAAAAAGGGAGATAGATGATGTGGGTCGTATATTTCTCACATCCAAACAAATTGTAACAATATTTTTTTCTTCTCAACAATTTTCTTAAACTCCGTAAAGTCAAACACCAAAGTTTATTTTTGGCAGAAAAGGAGTAAATCATGTGTGCCGTGTAAATAGCCGCATGTTTTCTTAAGCTAAAATGTGATTGGTAGAGTATTGGTCCATCAAGCATATGTTGATGGGTTCGTTATTGTGTCGGTCCACAGAAGTCTAAGGCGTGGAGTTATCCAGGAATTCAAGCTTGAACTTTCACTGAATCAATGGAGTCCTTTGGCAATTCAATGGTAGCTGGACCTGCAACTGTTATCTATCTGTCAAGCATTCTTGGCCAAGATGATGGCCCGAACCCTGCTCACAAATGTGATTGGAAATGTGAAAACGAAAATGTGTGCGGGAACATGTACAGATGCAGACTAACTGGGCTGACACACATTTGTGACAAAAACTGTAACCAGAGAATTTTGTATGACAATCATAGCTCCCTTTGCAGGGTGAGCAGGCAGATTTTCCAACTTACCGCAGCTGAAGAGAATGCTGTGAAAGGTATACGGAGGAAGCTTGATGCTGATAGTTCACCCCTTGACAGCTGTGCTTCCAAGCGTAGGCGAGATTCAACATTTCATCCATCACCGTTTGAGAGATCTTTCTCTGCTGTTACTCCCATTTGCAGCCAAATTGGAGATGGAATGGATATGAGCTAGATCATAACTCGTTATTCTACGTCACTTTTTTAGTATTTTGCTCTCATGAGACAATAATGCAAAAAAACACTTTGATAAGGCCTTCCTAATAGCAGACTGGAAAGTCTTGCTAAGTCTGTAGGAGATTCTTATATTGAACTGAAGTACCTTCCATTACTTACTAGGTGATCAACTTTATCATGCATTTGGAGTTATTATTGTTATTATTATCATCTCATTTGAGTTCCATTAGTGCAACGTGAGAGCTAAATATCTGACAAAGTGGATTGGTTTCTTTCAGCTTCGTGCATCGTACTGCTAATAAATTTGCTGATTGGTTGTAGTTTATTATGTTATCAAGTGTCGATGGAATGGATTGACCATGGTTTCTTGTGTTGTATTGATTAGCTTCTTGCAAATTCCTTTTTTGACACTTGCTCTTAAATAGTGTGCCTTCACATGACAGGTTGTTTTTGGAAACACTAATGTTGTTGCGTCATTTTAAAGAAACTTTCCATTTCAAGTCTAGCTCATTTCTTTGTTTAGTCTACTTAAGCTAAACTGATGTTTATTTCTTTACTTCTGTCCTTTTCAGGTTTATGAATATTAGCTGAGCTCATTTCTGGTTCTTTGTTATTTAGACGTTTATCTGTTATTCTCTTCTTTACAAGCTGTTACAATTCTGGTTCCTTACATGGTGTTGTTTTTGCAGGAACTGGGGTTAAATATCGGAAAATTGATATATAGCATCATATATTTTGTATTTAAATACTCTGTGTTTTCTTAATAAGGATAAGGATTTAATCAGTGATAATAGAAAGGAGTGTCTGATCGTTTTACTAATATTCTTGTTTAATTCACGCAGGAAAAAACAGTTCACCAAATATGTGTTTCAGAACTCAAAATTCTTAAAATGGTGCATGTTATGTTCAAGAGATGCCTACCAGCCGAAGTCGAGACCTCTTCATCCAGGGCACACTATGTTTTCCTCCTACATTATTCTACATCATCTCCCTAATCTGTTAACAGAGAACCTGTGACAACTTAATTGTTTCGGCAAAGTAGTTGAACTGATGCGCAACTACTTACTACCTACCCATCTTAAAGATACTCAGGATCTTCAGGTATTGTTTTCTTGCCTTAGGACATAACTATAGCCGTTAGACTTTCAAATATTTTTCTCTGGCAGTGATCTTTAATGCAACACTTTCATCTGATCAGTTAATCATCTCCAGATTTGTGGAACAGAACAAGAATTGTCTAAAATTTTAATCATTTGTATGATTAGCATGTTTAATGGTAAAACTAGATACGAGATTTGATTTCTGTGTTGCTTTACAGTATTACACTATCTTAAGTTTAATAAAGTAATACGGAGTAATACATCCTATGAAGTTCTGCCCAGTTTTAGCAACTTACAGTCATACATTTGAGATCAGATGTTTGTGGATATTCAGGATAATAGAGTTTGCTTCTGTTAAATTGGAAGTTGTGCAAATCAGAGATGCGAGGCTGTGATTTCTATTTCTAGATCAATCCTCTGAGTCATATTCAATGTACTCAAGAAGCTTGAAGGTATTCTTTCTGACTTCAGCTTGTTTAATTTTTATGTTTTAAATTATTTCACAAGTTCAGAGATTTTAATGGACATAGAATATGATACATGAAATCTCTTAAAGATAACTTTGAAAGTCAATTGCTTGTGATGTGGGTTTTTAAAACTTCTTCTTCTAACTAATGATACAAAGTAGTTGATCGCAACAAGATTGCATTCATAATAAAATAAAATTATTCTAGAGTTGTGGAAACTTCTGTGTTTTTTCATTAGTGTAGGGCTCATCAGTTTAATAAGATAGAGAAGCAATATAATTCAAAGATCTTAATACTAATAGGTATATTAAATTTTACAGTTTTGCTTTGAAGTACAGTAATCCATGAAGTCGTAGATAAAGAAAGAAAGGAATTGCTTCTTGTTGAGGCCACCTAAGATGGAGGAAAAAGAAATTCTAAACCAAAACTATGACCTTACGTCGGATGAATTTCTCAAAGCAACTTGACATTATGGATTTCACACATAATCATCAGATATTATAAAATCTTCCTCGATGTTACTATATAAGAAGTTCACGATTCTTTTGGCAAATCCCCTACGCACACAGGACATTTCATTAGCCCTATATTGGTGGCCATAATGATGTCCTGGAAGCCATTTCTCGTCTCACTGCTTTTCTCAACTTTCTTTTCATACTCTTTTGAATACAGTTTCATCATAACCAACAACTGTCCACATACAATATGGCCTGGCACACTTGCGGGTTCAGGAACTCCCCCGCTACCCACAACTGGATTTCAGCTGAACTCCGGCCAGAGTGTTAGCATCCCATGTACTCCAAAGTGGTCGGGCCGCATTTGGGCCAGAACCGGATGTACCTTTGGCGCAAATGGTGTTGGCTCTTGTCAAACTGGGGATTGTGGTGGAAAACTTGAATGCAGTGGCGCAGGGGCCGCACCTCCTACATCCCTCTTTGAGATCACTCTTGGAGATGAGAAAGACTTCTATGATATAAGCATGGTCGATGGTTACAACCTGCCTATGATTGTTTTCGCTCAAGGGGTGTCCGGACCATGCAACGCCACTGGTTGCATTTCTGATCTCAACATGGGTATGGTTCTATTATCCTGAGCAAGATCGTTTTTGGTAACACTCAAAACGTCCGGAATGGCTAAAATGACTAGTTTTGCTTAATTACCAAAAGAAAATATCGTTTAGACATAAATTAAATAACCTAAAGAAACAATATAGTATTTTAAAATAAAGCTTAAAGCATCAATTTCAACCATTCTAACAAAAAAAGTAACTCATGCACTACTTTTTTCAGCATCAAATTCAGCCGCTGTACTAACAAGAGTTAGGGCATGTTCTCTTCACATGATCTAATTGGAATAAGTTCTGGAAGTTTGCTTTAAAAGAAAAGAAAATTAATTGCATTTTGAAAATGGAAAACACTTGCTCTAGGTTGTCCAAAAGAACTTCAACAGATTGGGACAGACGGGGCTGTAATTGGGTGCAAGAGCGCATGTTTGGCATTTGGATTAGAGCAGTTTTGCTGCAGCGGAGCTCATGGCAATCCATCAACTTGTCAACCATCATACTATTCTAAAATCTTCAAGAGAGCTTGTCCCACTGCATACAGTTATGCATATGATGATGCAACCAGCACCTTTACCTGCAAGTCTGAAGCATATCACATCGTCTTTTGTCCCAACACGTAAGGCCTCTAGTAGACTTCGCATGGTGCGGACACACTTTGTGAAGTTTCATTTTCTTTACCTCATTCTTTAATGAGGTATAAAGGTTTAACTTCATAAAGCACTTGTCCTCAAAAGAGAACTTTTCTTATACGAATATATATAATGATGAACCCAAAAGAGAACTCAAATACTTGGGTAATAGATTTATTGTATTACTCCGTATTGTAAACTATGTATATGTTTTCTTAGACTGCTAATTGTATACCATGACCAACAGAGGCAACAATGCTGCTGGACCTCCACTTCCACCACCGCCGCTTCTGCCTCTGCCTCCCCTTAACGGTGGTGGAGTTGTAATGCCACCTCCACCTAACGGCGGTGGAGTTGTAATGCCGCCTCCACTTAATGGCGGTGGAGTTGTAATGCCCCCTCCGGTGCCACATACGCCGCCACCTCCTCCAGCTTTTGGCGGTGCAGTTGCCCCACCACCACCGCCACTTTTTGGTGGTGAAGGTGCTCCACCACCTCCACTTTTTGGCCCTGGAGTTGCTATGCCTCCTCCACCAGCTTCTCCAACTGTTACACCTCCGCCCTATGAAGAAAGTAAGAGCTACATATCTGGAGGGATGGTTTCATCTCCAAAAAAGAGTTTGCCCTTTCCAACACTGGTTGCCATTTTAATGTTTTCATTATTTCTGCGGATATAGAGACTTTTCGGACGAAACAGTTTTCAGTTGTGGCATATGAAAGCCATTACTGTACAAAAGTTTAAATGAAGTAACACTAAAGGGTAATATTATAGTTCATGAATTTACAAGGTACTCCATATATTATTGTTGTTCTTGCTACTGCTCCGACTTTAAAAGGATTCATTTCCTTTGTTCGTTCTATCAGTGGTTATAAGGTGTGTCTTTTCTATGAAACGTTTGCTAGCATTTTTCTTGGAAAATACTAGGGTGTCCCCAAATAGTTGCTAGCATATATGGGTGCATCCAAATTTCATACAGATGATTATTATCTGTGTCGCACAGATGATCATTTGTGCGAAGTGATACGGTATCGTATCGAGATAGGGAAGGTTGAACACCTTTAAGCTATAGAATCGAGGAAAAGGGGGAGACTGAGAAGGGAGAGGGGAAGACGGCCGTTGATCGGCGAGGAGGAGAGAGGGAGTTTAGGGTTAGGAAAATGATTGTTCTTTATTGATTGAATAATAAACTCATGCATAATGGATACATATATAGATGGTTGATCTAAAGAATCCTAGCCATAAAAGATAACTAAATAAATTAAAATACTAATAACCTAATATAATAATACTTCCTAACAATAATGAAATTATCTAACCATAAATAATAATAATAATA